GTCTGTATCAGCTATTTGTTTTTTTTCTTTCATTATGTATGTGAGATTATATGCTTTTAGGAGCAGGTTTTAGATGGAAATGTGTCAGTTTAGAATTGCCGGAACAAGTCTTCATGTGCCTTAGTTGATTCATAGCATTCCAGCATCCTGTTGCACAATTCATGAAGGAGTCCCATCTAAACTGTTCCCAAAACCCATCATGGGTAGATTAAATAAATCTGGAAACCACGTTTGCAGATTTAGAATCCTTACAAGTAATTTATGAGCCTTACTCTTGCATAATAATATTAATGTCAGTTGCATTTTAATGACTGTCAGATACTCCAGTGTTGAGTGACATAGAAATTAATCAAATGCAATTCTCTCCAGTAGCACTGACATGGAGCCACAGAACTTAGAAGTGCTGCAAACCCTACACAGTTCAATGTGTTCACTTTTGACTAGGTTTAGAAATCTTTGGCCCAGAGCAGCGCCGATCTGGAGCTTGTGGGATTAATTTCCCACCACCATCCCCATACAAAATGTTGTTTCCCATTTTCTGCAGAATTTAACCTTTATTCCTAGACTTGTGCTTAGAACTGAAAGACCAGACAAATAAGCTCACACTTCTCCTAGGTCATATAGCACTGGGGATCCCTTAGATCACAGGAAAGCTGTCCGCTTAGGTAGGATACCCAAAACAGGTCTCTGAGATTTATTATTTGTATTACCGTAGCACTTAGGCGCTCCAGTCAGGGACCAGCATCCTATTGTGCTAGGTGCTGTACAAACACACAGCATAGAGACAGTCCTGCCCCAGAGAGCTTGCTAGCTAAGTAGACAAGGGATAACAGATGGAAGACAGGCTGATGGGAGAGTGCAGAGAAATGATAGGTGAAATATATGTGTAGAGGGAGTTATGGGGAATGTGATTACAAAACAGTATGACTATTAATGGGTTCCCTGGAACTGATCCCAAGCTATGAAGTTTAGAACCAGGTCCAGACTTCCCTAAAGTTTGGGGTGGTTGATATCCCAGGTCATTGTTTGGCCCATCATTGCAATTGGGATCTGCCTGGATCTGATCTGCCTTGATCCAACCTGCACCCAAGTTTGGTAGGTTTATGAATCTATTTCTAGTTTCTGTTCCATTCAGGCTCTATCCCAAGCCCATCGCCATAGTGTCAGAGAGCTTTCCGGTAGTACAGTAAGTGATGTGACTCTCACCCATTATTTGAGGTTCCTTCTCTGTTCCTCCCCTCCCTGCCCCAGAGAGGAAAATTGCATGTGGATGTTCTTGTTTGGGGTTGTTTTGTGTGATGTCCTAGGAACTTTATCTGTGAAAGCCAGGTCAAATAAACGCACCTTGTGTTAGGAATAGGAAGGTCTTAGGTTCTGTAGGAGCAAGTGCCACCTCGTGGACTGGCCCCTGAGAAAGCTCCGTCTTCTGCACAAACAAGTCTGTGTCAAATCCTCTCTCCCATTTATTTGGCTCAATACAACCAGTTTGGCTTAGATTTAAACATATCCCCCTGGCAGTGTGGTGAACCCAAGAACAACAGCACTGCACTCGGGCATGAGAACCGGGAAATGAAACGGGTTATAAACAAAAGTGGAAGTTGATCTGTTGGAATTTTATTGCCCAAGACAAGTAAAAGGGCAAAAACCCAGTGAACAAACAGCCTAAATGGTGAGAGAAGAATGAGCTAAACTCTCAGCTTTAATAATGGGATTTGTTCTGAATAACAGCTCTGACTTATTTCATCATGACTGTCCCTTAAACCAGTGCCCCATTATGGTCAGTTATTGTGCACGGATATCCTCTGAACACTAATGCGTCTTGACACTCCTTTGATAACCCTCCTCAAACATCTAACCCGTCTTGACAATGTTTCACTGGTATCATAATTTGAATAAATCAGACCCTTTAATTCTCTAGCTCCTGCACCTTGGATCACAAGATCAATGCATTTCTCAGTTCTGTGCTGTAATCAGATCCATGGACATACAATAGCATCACAGAAGTGGCCCATGCCAACCATGGTAAGATAACACTGACGTATGCTGATTTGCAAAAAATGGAAACTCCTAAAGCGTTCCTCCCTGTGCCAGGCTGAAAGAAATTAAAAATACATATATCCATTCTGGCCTCGTGCCTGCCTCATGCGATTCCCCCTAAAATTCCCTCTGACCACCTGTAAAGAGAGCAGTGAAATACTCGCTCCTCCAGCTTAGTGGAACCAAAGCCATCAGTTGTGCAGAATATCTTGAGCAGTCACTTGGACTCCTGGATCAGCTAATCCTTGGGAGAGCTAAGCAACCCACTGACTGGTAGCAATTGGACACCAGCTTGAATCCCACTTCACTGTCTCAGATTGAGGTTTTTTGAACCAACAATTGTGTGCAAATGGGTGAAATTCACCCATTGTGTGGCCAGCCAAAGCTCTCTGCGGTGCATAAACCCTGCACTGGGTTGGTCAGGGGACAAAGGCACAGCAGCAATAAATCATAGAATCGTAGGACTGGAAGGGACCTCCATAGGCTCTAGTCCAGACCCCGGCACTGAGGCAGGACTAAGTATTATCAAGACCATCCCTGACGGGTGTTTATCTAACCTGATCTTAAAAACCTCCAATGACGGAGATTCCACAACCTCCCTAGGCAATTTATTCCAGTGCTGATCTATCCTGACAGGAAGTTTTTCCTAATGTCCAGCTAAACTGCCCTTGAGGCAATTTAAGCCCCTTGCCACAGAGGACAGGACGGGAAGTAAAGGAGAACAATTTATCATCCTCCCCTTTAGAACACCCTTTTATGTACTCGAAGACTGTTATCATGTCCCCCCTCAGTCTTCTCTTCTCCGAACTACACAAACCCATGTTTTTCAATCTTTCCTCACGCATAGATCATGTTTTCTAGACCTTTTTAATATTTTTGTTCTTGCTCTTCTCTGGATACTCTCCAGTTTGTTCACATCTTTCCTGAAGTGTGGTGCCCAGAACTGGACACAATACTCCTGTGGAGGACTTATCAGTGCTGAGTAGAGTGTCTTGCTTACAACACTCTTGCTAATACATCCCAGAATAACATTTGCTTTTTTCTGCAACTGTATTACGTTGTTGAGCCGCTTTTAGTTTTTGATCCACTGTAACCACCAGATCCTTTTCCTGCAGTACTTCTTCTTAGGCAATCATTTCTCTGCACCCAGCAACGTTATTGCGCGTCACCAGATGGCGCAGTTACCGATAGTCTTACAAACTGTTTTGCTGACTGTACAGTATAGGCAGTTAAATTTGGGAAGGAAAGGTTTGTTGTTAGTTGGGGTGCAATTTTTTTTAAATGAGTATAAATCCAAGTAAAATTTGATTGCCTGAGTGTCTCTGATTGGAACCATTTCTGATGGGACACTGGGCACGCACAAAATTAAACAAGGGTAAAACCCCAAAACATTAGCACCTGTGGTGCAAAGAAGTGTGTTTCTCAGACTTTAGTGAATTTCACCCACAATATTTAGTCCCTTTCCATCTTTAAAAGCATTCCGCTTTTCAAACTTATCCATGCATTATTTCTAGGTTGCCATTTCTGAGTTAGAGGATTCTGAAAGAACTCCCTCCATGTGCTCTTTAAAAAAAATCCTTCTTGTTGACTATGCATCAGAATAGTAACTGCAGGGGCTTTTAGTTGCCAGCTACTATAAGCTGAGCATCATCAACCTAAATCAAGTCACATCAGCTTCAAATGCTGGTTTTGAAACCGAAGCTGCTAGTTGCAACTAAGGTGCAGAAAATGTGGTGGTCTTACTGGCAGTTACAGATTTAGGTCCCAGGCTCTCCAGCTGCGGCTGTATCTCATAGTCAGGGCCGGCTCCAGGCACCAGCCTACCAATCATCTGCTTGGGGCGGCACCTGGAGGAGGGCGGCGCTCAGGCCTGAGAGCGGGGCCGTGACTGGGCTCGCCACCCTCCCCGCGGCGCTCCGGCCGGTCAGGGAGAGCGGGGCCCCGGCCGGGCTCGCTGCCTTCCCCCCGGCGCTCCAGCCGATCGGGGAGAGCGGGGCCCCAGCCGGGCTCGCTGCCTTCCCCCCGGCGCTCCGGCCGGTCGGGGAGAGTGGGGCACCAGCTGGGCTCACCGCCGGGGGGTGGTGGGCGACGGGAGGCTTTTTTGCCTGGGGTGGCAAAAAAGCCAGAGCTGGCTCTGCTCATAGTGTGCATTTGAAAGATGCAGGAGTCACCAGCAAGTCCCCAGCCATGTACAGTTGTTGTCACGTGCTCACATAGGGCCAAACCCTCCTTTCTAGTTTGCACTGCGGCTCTCCAGTGCATGCTGAACTCGTTGTTTGGGAGGAAGTTCTGTGCATGGGAACTGGTATGGAATCTTCATTAGAGCTCCAGACTTCAGGCCAGTAAGGAGATGCTTTGCCCGGGGTGGAGCTCTCATTGGCCAGTTGGGCTGGGCCGTTAGAACTCCTGATAGTGGTGATGTGCGATGAAGTGAAGCAAGGACAAGGCAGCAGCTGAAATTCACAGGGTCTGAGTAATCCCTGAAGTTCCTGATTCAAATGAAGACTCTCTGACTTCCAATCAAGTGGCTGGAGGCACAGTTATGCTGACGTCCATGAGCATTTGTGTCTTTGACTTCATTAGAGCCAAATCTTAGTTCCATCTCTTTTGCATAATGCGTAAATAGAAGAGTGACACTCTAAAGAAGAAAGAGCCAGTTGTTCCATTAATAGCCTTGATTTAAAAAAAAAAAAAAGCCCCCAAAACCTGAAAATCTGTTTCTAAATCCAGGAGACTGTTCCTAAATTTCCCCGGAGATGTCAGTGAAATCTGAAAAGGACTCAGCCCAGGAGCTTTTTCTTTATAATATTGAGATGTCATTAACAATAATTAATAATGAAAGTGTGCATTTGGCTTCATTTGTTTATGGAAACTCCAAGTGTGGATGCCTAAGATCTTGCTCTTTCTCGGCTCACAACAGAAGCAGGGCTCAAAGATTTGTATATGTTATTTCTCCATCACAGATGCAGCTAAGAAATCCCAGGAGGTTTGCTCCCCAGAGACCATGCAGCAGACACGAATGGTACATTGTTTGTGAATCCAATGGGCGCAAATTACTGTGTGGTCACCATGGAATAAATTCCATAGATGTCAAGCCGAATCATGCCACAATGCATTTCTGTTCTGGTGTTCAACTTGAAAAGCAACTGAGAAAGGTTAGGAACAATTTAAATAAAAAGAAATATATATTCCATGCTGATATAGATAATGAATCAGAATATGTGGGAAGGAGCATTTCCCATTATTTTCCTGTGTAGGGTTAATTTACCCATAAAACTTTCAGAAACAGCATCAAGGATCTCAAGGGCATTCAGCTTTGAAAAGTGATCTGTCCAAAAATAGCACTTCCTTTAATAGATCTGCTCCTTGTGTGGGCATGTAGGGTCAGATCTGCTGGTTTTTAGTGACACAAATCAGTTTTACTACTTGTTATCCTTATGAGGGCTGCAGAACACACACAGCTGGGAGTGAGCTAGAAATTATCACCAAGATTACATCCTATCAGTGACAGCCATACAAACCCACTGAAGGGAGTGGGGTGGCACAGGAATTGCTGAGGGCTTAGTCTCAGTGCCCTGCCACTGCAGAGGTGTAATGAAGGCCTAATCTGACCCCTTTTTCCTTATGATGATGCACCGAAAAGAGAGATCTCAGGTTGATTCTCGGCACTCAGGTGGCCTCTGCAGTTACCGAGCATGTTTGCTCTGAAGTTGCTGAAGGGGCCCCGCATTGATATTTATAGAGTCGCCTTTTGGAGTAGAACTGAAGTTTAAACTCGAAGGGCCTGATTTGTGCAGCCCTGCGTGTGCAGAATTGTCACGGACTCCTCTGGAGGATCAAGAGTAGCTACAGGATCAGGTCCATAAGACCTTCCTATTATTGGTACTGTTAGCGAGAGCGCTTTTTGGGGGGACTATAACATTGGCTTTTAAGACTGGGCTGACTGAAAAATTGATGCAAGATCAATTTCATGATTTGTGGTGTGAAAAATCAAACCTCTGAGATTTGTAATGTTCCCTGTTGAATCGGTGAAATTGGAGCTTACAGTATTTGAATCAAATAAGCAGTGTTGCCAACTCTGAGTTTTATCAGGTGACTTGCAATATTTTGAGTTGTTCCTTAGAGCTCTAGCTCCTCCAGTCATGTGAATAGAAGAGAACCTCAGCTTTCATATAAAACAAAAAAAAAACTTAGACCCAGATCCTCAAAGATATTTAGGTACCTAACTCCCATAGTTAGGTACCTATATACCTTTGAGGATCTGGGCCTAAGTTTATAACTCTCATAGCAATGGAGGAGAGCTTGAGAAGATGAACCATAAAGACTCAAAAAGCCAGATAAAAAGAACCCCGTGTTTTTTGTTGGTTTAAAAATGGTGAGATTTAAAAAAAAACTCATTATTTTTTGTGGGCCTGACAAATAACTTTTGAACATGTGATGTTGGCAAAACACCAGTCACTTAAGTGTCTCTGAAAATCCCACCCAATAATTAAGATAGGAATGAACAGACTTATTAGAGATCTTATCCAGTCCCTGGTTAGTGCAGGATTGTTGCCTATATTTGCTGCTAGTGCTTTTTTCCAGTCTAATTATAAAAATCCCCAGAGACCGGGATTTGGACTTCATTCACTGTGCAACCAGGCAACCCACATTCATTACATCCAACCATTTCCAAAGTGGTTTATAAATATCCCATGGCAGGCTCCTACTAATTAGAAGACAATGACTATAGCTGTGTTTACACTGCTATGCTTATTAGAAAGAAAAAAAAGTCTCAGATTTTGTACTATGTGCAACCTGAGATCATACGTTTGAGTGGTGTTTTGATTTTTTTTTAAATTGTTTTTAAAGAAATATTTCTTGAGGGTGCTTTTTGGTTTCTGAGTCAACATAGGCACACGGTTTATAGCTAGTTCCTGGATGAAGTTACCGATCACATGTTCACTGTGAACTTGCCCTAAGTTTATTCAACTCTAAAAATGCAAAGGTGGGTTAGGGAAAAATGTGTAGCTCAGCAATGAGCCTCGTTCTTCGTAAATGTCATGAAGGGCCAGGACTTGTGTTTCCCTTTCGTTGGGCAAATGCAAATATTGTACGTATATTTCAAGCTACACAATGTATGTTCAGCCAAAACCTAGTCGAGCCGAGATCTTAGCAGGGAAAGTCTTCAGCCTAGATAGATCAGCCATGTTATGGCTTTTGCTTTGGAGTGTGTGAATGTTTCATGATGTTGCCAAAGTCAGCCCTTTACATTTTGCTTGAAACTATGTCGTTTGACAGTGGCTTAAACTCTTTGAACTTTGGGCCTTTACTCACTCGCGTAGGCCTGATTTGTGCATTTGGACCCAAACTCAAAAGGAAGAGTGGTCAGTGGTAAGATTAAATGTAGAATGTGTACTTGTGGAGCCAGAAGAACTTTCCTAGAAAGCACTGGTCGATGGGATTACTTGTGCGACTATGGGTTGAGGATTGGGCCCTCTATTGGTAGGGTACACGGACTTCTACCAGCAGGAGAACATCACATAATTCCAGGAATTCCAGTGCAAACCCTCCCCAGAACAGTGTTGATCTGCTAAGAGGAAGGCTGAGGTAGTGGTTAGGGTGCTAACCTAGGGCTTGGAAGCCCTGGGTTCAAATCCCTGCTTTACTACAGGTTCCTCTGACCTTAGACAAGTCACCTCTGGCTTGGTGTATAAAGATGCAGAGAGGAGCCTAGAAGGATTTACAAAAACACATAAGCAGGCTAGGCATCCAACTCCCATTGAAAGGCAGTGGGAATTAAGCACCTAACTCACTTAGGTGCTTTTGTAAATGCCAGTTGGTGTCTATCTGCATCTTTAGGTCCCTAAATACCTGTATAAATATGGCCCTTAGTCTCTCTGTGCCTCACTTCACCATTTGTAAGGTGGGGATACCAACACTTCCCTGGCTCACAGAGGTGCTGTGCAGGGAGATATATTATTCTGAGAAACTCAGAAACTCTGCGTAAGCACCTAATGTACTTAGGTAAGCACCTAAGACAGATGGTAGCTGTACTTCCTGGTTTCTAGTAGGATTGTTTTGTCTCCCTCCATCCCCTGGCAGGAGGTCACTTTCCTACCCTATAAATAAAGAGACCACGTAATAGTCAATCTTGCCTTTCATTCTGAAAGCTGCAAGGTTCATGGTCTTCACACAAACTTCACCCTGCTGTCCATGTCCTTGTTTCCTAATGAGAAACTCAGTGTTGGAGTTTTAACTCACAGAACAAGTTTTACGTCAGGAAGTTGGTGTTCTGACAGTGATACCTAAAAATAGTGTCTGGGTCTAGAATGTTGTTCACCTAGGCGGAAAGCCAGGGAAATCAGCTTGGTAAATCAGGCTTTATGGTCATTTTTCATGAGATTGGATGCAACATCAATGCAGCCTTTTGGATGGAAACTGCTTTTGCATCTGCCAGTTAATTTGTGAAAAAAAAATTGCAAGAATATTATCTCCCCATTGTGCACTTCCTCCCTAATACAACTAAAGAGTGTTCTAATAGTTTATTGCCTGCAAGGATTTGAATATCTTTCCTTCTGCCTAGCAGGGTTTCATGTACAGAACCAGATACCATACTTAAAAGAAAAGGAGACTTAATAACATTGATGTTTTTGGAGTGATTCTAGCTGATCTATTCAACAACTGCTGAATTGTTAGTTGAAGAGAAACCACATTGGGGCTCAGCGTTGGCAGTTCTGTTTAGCTGCTGGCCAAGCAGCATTTTTAAAGCATCTTGCTGCTCTTCCAGTGCGATCAGCAAACTTGTGAAAAAATGAGATTTGACTTGATAGTTGAGAGTCGTGTCTTGTGATTTGCCCTAACTGCTGGTTTTCTAATTGTGCCACTGATCATAGCGATAGTGTTCTGTTCTCCAGCTGCTTTCTTCTGACCTTAATCACCATTAATTAAGGTTTACAACAGGCTTGCATAGTAGGTATTGGCATCATGTTTACAGAGAGGGAAACTGAGGCAGAGGTGTTGAGTGACTTGCCCATGGTCACAGAGTGAGTCAGTGGTAGCCATGTAGACTATATGTAGTTAAAATCTGTCTACCGCCTAGTCATTATAGGTACTTGTACAGTAAGTAAGAGCAGGTCACACATGGATTTATTATCCCCTCCCTGGAGAGGGCTCTCAGACTTTGCAGCCTCTTTGGATGGGGAGTGGGACTGTGATAATTTGTCCCCAGTCTCTGTATGACTTGCTTCTGAGAAATAGAATCACTAACTCCTGTGAATTTGCCCATCCCACCAACAGGGCCAACATGTTGGCCAACTCCTTCCTGTTCTCTTACATTTATAATCCCCCTACTTTACACATTCAACAGTTCTTCACACGTTGCTTGATTTCCTTGCCTTTCCCTGGCTTGTCTTCTTGATTTAGCATCTTCCTCCGTATCTGAGCTGGGGAGGTGGGGAAATCCACCCCTTTTGCTGAACATGGTGTTAACACATTGCTACCAGAACTGACTTGTATCATATCTTCCAAAGAGCAAAGTCGTTTGTTTTTAGAATCCACCAGATTGCTCCAAATGGTACCTTTAGAACATGTTCCATGGGGAGGATCCCCATCTCTTATGGGGGGGGTTAATCTTCTCCTCTGGAAATGAGTCTGTTCAAACACCGTTCCTCATGTTCCAGTTCCTTTGGGTATGATTCTCCATGTCTTGACTTACATTTCCTGCTCCCAGTTGCTATCCCAATTCCATGCTAGGAAAATGGCATATGCTTTCCTGCTTTTCATAAATTACATACATGGCACACGAGGGAGCATGGCAAAACCTTAGAAACTCCAGATACTTATTGCATATAGGATGATGTAGGAGTTGAATGTCCAAGGAGAATGACTATTCCTCTCCCAAGATGATCAGTGTTTACCATAGTCAGTGCAATAGTTTCAGCTATATTACACATAGAGGAAGAATGGGCTTGTGGGTAAGGCTCTGGAGTGGGACTTTGGAGATCTGCATTCAGTTCTTGACTCTGTCATAGACTTCTTGGGTAAATCACTTAAATTCCCTCTGCTTCACTTTCCCATCTGTGAAATGGGGATGACCCTTCCTTTCTCCTGCCCTTTGTCTGTCTGGTCTATTTAAACTGAAAGCTCTTTGGTGCAGCATGCACTATGGAGCTCT